GAGAGCGCAGTGCAAACGTCTTCAGGAAACACACTCCACTCACATGGTGGAAAGATTCTGGACTGGTCTTGGACAAAATTATGGTACAGGGTCATTCAGAGCAAATGATTTTAGTCTAATTTAAGTCAGTCAAACATAAAATCCACCACTTATTAGTCATGGTTCTACAAAATCTGTGCTTTGAGCGCCCCCTCATGGACAGCTATACACGTGCATTCATGACGAGCTGAAGGAAACAGAATCTGACTCCCCTTCATGCGCTACAGGTTACACTCATGATTTCTGTTTCTGTGTGTAAATAACAGAAATCCTGAGTGTGATCTGTAGTGTCCATACACCTGTGACACGTGCACACGAAGGGGAGTCAGATTCTGCTGGGTGTCACAATTTGGCACAACACCAGCAAAGAACATCAGGAGAGAAAGAACCATGTTGACTTACATGGTAAAGAAACATTACAGGATTTTATCACAGGAGGTTCAAACTTTCAAGGCTTACTTGGCGTCAGATTCACAGATTGATCAAACGTTCTAGCGTGAGATGAATTTATTTCTTTGCTGATTTAGTCTGAAATGGGACTGAGGTTAGACGACTTTGGGCATCCAGAAAAACTACTCCGTTAGACAGATGAGGCAATTTTATTAATACAGCACCTTTCATACACTGCTGTCATTCAAAGTGCTTTACAAATAAGAAAATAGAGTTGTTTAAATTGAAAACAACACTAAAAACATAATTAAAACATGATTAAAACATATACAATACATTTAAAAGAGAAAATCAAATTAGATTAGAAATTAAATTAGAATAGTGAAATAATCAAATTAAAAATGAAAAGTTAGATTAAGATAAAAAGGAATGACACAAATAAGGTTACAGTTTACAGCGCAGTCTTTCACCAATAACACTGGCAGGGATGAACACTCTGCTGTCAGAGTCTCGCTGTTTTCCCGTTAGCTGTGAGTCTGTCCAGCATCCTTTTATCTCTTTTACGAGTAAAAGCCAGTCTGAGATTTACTGTCCGGTCTCTCGCTCAGTCTCTCTCTCTCTGTCTTCCTCTCTTCCTCCGACAGTGTCTTCGCAGCCTCTGCCGTGATGTCCATGCTGGGAATACAGAGCTGCTGAGTTGTTGGTGTGACGTAGTGCCGTAAAGCATTACATGGTTCTGGCGAGAGGTTCTTGTGCTGCTCCTCCAAAGTTACATAGCGCTATAGCAGGAGTTCCGATCCAGAGTGGCAACGACAGAGACGCCGTTCTCACTGTTACAATCAGTGTAGCATCAATATGATTTAGAAGCTGTTATTTTAAGGTAAAATTGTTACATAATGTTGCTTTAAAATGTCCAGACTATGGTCGTCATAGTCATAACGAGGACTATTGGAAATTTAACTCTAACATTTTACACAATCAGTCTTTTTCTCTCAGGGCGTCTTTATTCCTCAAACAGGTTTTATTACACTGGAAAATTATGTAAAGGCACAATTTCACACCTCATAAAACTCCAGTCTGGAACAATTGATGTATTAACCACAGGAAAAAGTCACTGTTCATTTGTCACTGGTTTGAAAAGGGAGTCTGGTCAACATTATATTTCTTTAGTACTAATCAGTTTTAAATTTTATAAGGAGTTTAGCAAGGATTTTAATTTAGTTTGCAAACAATAATACTGTCATTAATTCAATTCCACAAGCCATGTTTGTTATGTAGAAGTGAGACACAAGAAACCAGCTTTAAACACAAGGGAACATTTTTAAATGCAAAACTTTCTAGTAACTTTCTGAAGAGCTTTTCCAACAAGACGCTGTACCCAAATGTGTGTTTTAGGATATCAGTCCTTCTTTTGCTCCCAAAGCTTTCTGTATGTAAACTCTGAACTATGTACATTACATTTTCTGTCCCCCCAAAAGCTAAATAAGCTCAGGATAATGAATGAAAACATCCTTCTAAGGAATTTATGAGACAGAGGTTTAATTTGGATGAAAATGTTTATGCTTTCTGTAAAGAAACGACTGAGCATTTATTTGTTTCTGTAAATACTCTGCAACCTTTTGGGATGATTTACAATATTGTTCATATTTAAAGATTTTTGGTCTAAGTGATTTTAAAGAGTGAGATATTATAGACTCAGATTCTGAAAAGGTTATAGATGATATTTTACGGCTGTCAAAGCGTTTTATATATGTACAGTAAAGTGTATGAAATCATCACCATCTTTCTCCATGTTCCACAAGGAGCTCGTCCGTTACAGTGAAAATGAAGGATCAAAAAGACTCATTTATGACTCGTGTCTGATAAACATGGCACTGCCAGCACTGGTCTTTGTTTCTGATCTTCTCTGGTGGGTAAAGATCATTACAACCTATTTGCGACCTCTAGTGGTTAAATGAGATCACTACATCATTTAAATCCTTACAAAATCATTACAGCTTCCTTTTCTCTGGTTTGATGTGATCAATTAAATTATTAATCAGACTGTTCGATTATTAAGCGCCGCATCATTGATTTATATTATATTACTACAATGTCAAGATTGTTACAATCGCAGAACCCTTTTGGGTTCTATATAGAACCATCTACAGCACATTCTCCATCGATCTGAAGAACCATTTTATGATTCAAAGAACGCTTCAATCATGCAAAGGGTTCTTTGAGTATTCATGGTTCTGTATAGAACCATTTTCTTTACTAAAGAACCTTTGAAGAACCATCTTTTTAAGAGTAGCACAGTGTCAGCGACAGGTTTCCCTATAAGATCGTTCTATATCAGACGTTATTTATTGTCTCAGTTTGTAATAGTTGTCTTAGATTATTTTCTAGAATAAAAGTCTCTCTGCATTTAAAATCCGTCTAAGGAGATTAAAATTAGTTACAGCTTGTATGCAGGACAGTAATGTGGTGGTCCGAAGGTGGTCCAGCAGTTTGGGGTGGGCCAATATGCGCTGCTATCTCGGTAAAGTTCACTCGCAAATCCAGAGTCGCATCATCAGTTCCTAATTTTAGACTAACCTGATATTTATTTATGATCCTTATTACAAATATGACAAAACAAACAAGATGAAAAGACGTCTCTTCTGTTAAAAAAAAATTATATATTCATGTTTACTGTCATTCACTCACTATATCTGTTTTTTCTTTGTTGTTTATGTGTGGATGTGTGATGTATGTGTTTGTGTTTTCTTCTCATTGAAAAAGTTTAATATAAATATGTTTGTTTATTTTTTCCATCTGTAATTGAAGCTGAACACTCAGCCCTGTACACGACTGTACAAATAAATAAATAAATAAGTAAATAAATAAATAAATAAATAAATAAATAAAATAGATATAAGATAGATAGATAGATAGACAGACAGACATATAGATAGACAGATAGATAGATAGACAGATAGATAGATAGATAGACAGACAGATAGATAGATAGATAGATAGATAGATAGATAGACAGACAGATAGATAGACAGATAGATAGATAGACAGACAGATAGATAGATAGATAGATAGATAGATAGATAGACAGACAGATAGATAGATAGATAGACAGATAGATAGACAGATAGATAGATAGATAGACAGATAGGCAGATAGACAGATAGACAGACAGATAGATAGATAGATAGATAGATAGATAGATAGACAGACAGATAGATAGATAGACAGACAGATAGATAGACAGATAGATAGATAGATAGATAGACAGACAGATAGATAGATAGATAGATAGATAGATAGACAGACAGATAGACATAGACAGACAGATAGATAGACAGATAGATAAACAGACAGGCAGACAGATAGATATATAGACAGATAGATAGATAGATATAATTTATTTAGTTATTTCCATTTTTATTTTATCTCATTTTTATTTTTTTCTTTGTTGTCTGTGATGATGTATGTATTACCTTTTAATTTGAAAGGGTTATTAAAATATGTTATTAATTTTCCATTTTCAAGATGTAATTGAAGCTGAACACTCAGCCATGGCTGTTTAAATACATACATACATACATAAATAAATAAGTAAGTAAGTAAGTATTAGCCAGGAACCCTATAACTCTATAAGGAACACTGTTAAGAAGAGGGTTCTTCAGGTTCTTACATATATATATATATATATATATATATATATATATATATATAAATGCTCTTCTATTGCAACAAGCTTCATATCGAACCAACTGCAGAACCCTTTTTGGTGCTACACAGATACAGAGAGATATAAAGAAGATGTAGAACCGGCACGTTCTCCATCAACCCGAGGAACCATTTAATCAGATTAATTAGTTACTTGCAGTAATATGATCTTCATACTTACAGAAATCACCTGTTTATAAATCTCCATAAGGAAGTAGTTGATGCTGAGCTGTTTCTATGGTAACGGCTTGGCGCTGGATGACGTGACCGGAAAGAGGGCGTGGCTTCCCCACTCTCTGGTTCCGGAGTGTTCCAGAAGAAGGCGCGCGGGGTGGAGCGAGAGTTCTAGAACGCGAGGAGAGCGCGCGCGGCTGCTGCGGTAGAGCGGAGGGTAAATAAGGGAATAAATAAAGGTAAATACTGAATAATCGCCATGACGACCATCGACTACAGCGTGTGGGACCACATCGAGGTATCGGACGATGAGGACGACACGCACCCTAACATCGACACACCGAGCCTGTTCAGGTGGAGGCACCAGGTAACTCACCTGTGACATGTAGCACCCTCACTCTCTCTCCGCCAGCCCGTAGGTCCTTCCCAGCTTCTCGCTCGAATTCCCCGTTCCACCTTAAACGGAGAGTTTCGGGCGCCGCTGGCTGTGTGGTTGCAGTACCGCCGTCCGCCGCAAGAGGCGCGGCACTTTGTATTATTATGATCATGTACTCAGTGATGTTTATCCGCACCTTTATAGACATAATAAATATGTTTATGTATATGTTACTACTACTAAATAAGCCCGCTTGTGTCTGAATCTGTAACAGCGCTGTTTTATAAACTCCAGTACTCTGTAGTAACATACAGTATCGGCTCCTCTGAACGAGGTTCCTCTGGTTCTGTTTCAGAGGAAACTGTAGTGTTCACTGCAGCTTTCTCACAGGAATCCTCTAGAACCTCCACTCAGCTTTAAGCTGACTAGATGTTCCTCAGAGGAGGAGAACATGGGGAACATGAGAGAGAGAGCCCCCCCCCCCATTAAAGCGCCTGTAACATGAATAAAAACGAGTAAAACGTGTAAAAACGGCCGAAGCTGAGTTTCAGAGTCTCTGACTGAGAAGGCGTCGATGCTAATGATGCTAACACGTTTCTCCTCAGAACTTGTGGACTCAGATTCTCGAGTGACTCTCAAACATCGACAGTTCAGAGTCAGTGAAGGATAAAAAACTCTAATAACTGGGTTTACCGCTGATTATAACCCTCTAAATCTCTATAAATCTTCCGTTTCTCTGAGCAAAACCGAGAAAACGAAGTTACAGCAGTTAGCTGAGAGCTAGCTTAGTAGTGCTAGCTGGAGTGTGTAAAGTCCTCAGTTCGGCTGTTTTTGTGTTTTTAATGAGAGATTTTCTCTCTTTCCGCCTCATTTAGACCCTGTGGGGTTCCTCACACCCAGAAATCTCACATAGATGTGATATTAGACACGGCTCCTCAGGTCTGGGCGGTTTAGTGGGAGGTAAACACAGCAGAGCCGCTATGCTAACTGTCAGCAGCTCGGGTGTTCTAATGTTAGCGCTAATGCTAACGTTGAACTCGAGTCTGTGAGGATTTTCTGTCAGTGTCCGTGTTTGTGCGGGTTCTCCGTGTTTGTAGATGTTTCTGGAAAGTCTTGAAGGTTATGCCGAGATGCGGGAGGTAGGGGAGCCTGGGTTTCTTCATAAGTGTCCACAGTGTGGTCAGTGTTGTCCAGTTTGTGTGGAAACGTTAGTCTAAGCATTTAAAGATGTTTCTTAAAGGGAATCGTTCTGTGTAGAACCATTTCAAGCTTAACTGGTTCTTTGCATGGTGAAAAGGTTCTTCAGACTGATGGAGAATGTGTTGTATATGATTCTGTTTTACACCAAAGAGTTCTGCTGTTGTTATTGTTTTATGTATCATATACAACACATTCTCTATCAATCTGCTGCACCATGCAGAGAACTCTAAGCGTGAAATGATTCTGCATAGAACTCTTAATTTTACAGAACCGTTGCCTTTACTAAGGAATCCCTAAAGAATGGTCTATAAAGAGTGTATTATATGGAGTTCTCAGCGATGCCCTTAAAACTAACAGCATATCTGCTTTTGGCCTGATGGCTTAAGTTGATTAATTCACCCTATTTTTACATTTTGGCATCAAAAATGTATCAAAATATCTTCCAATTCTTTTCAGGCAAAGAAGGCCTTTTTATTAAAGTTTTAGTTTGGATCTTCAGTAGCTACAATAGAACCAAACGCACAGGGTCAGCAGTGCCTGTATGATGAACATCTGTATGAAGAACGATGACAGTTCTGCCTAGAACAGAACGAGGTCTAGGCCCACTATGATGACCAGGTGCAGTGAAGTTTTTTTTTTTGTTCATTTTTATATTTTTCTTTACTAGTTTTGTTTTGTTTGTTTGTTTGTTTGTTTATGTTTGTGATGTAAAACGTCTAGATTGCAGTTAATGGCAAGCTAAGCGAACCATTAGCAAAGGTAAAATAAAACAGTGAGTTAGCTAGAACGGGGACAGTATTTAAACACTGTGTCCACTCACTGTCCACTCTATTAGACACTCCTACCTTGTCAGTCCACCTTGTAGATGTGAAGTCAGAGACGATAGCTCATCTGCTGCTGCACAGTTTGTGTTGGTCATCCTCTAGTCCTTCATCAGTGGTCACAGGACGCTGCCCACAGGACACTGTTGGCTGGATATTTTTGGTTGGTGGACTATTCTCAGTCCAGCAGTGACACTGAGGTGTTTAAAAACTCCAGCAGCACTGCTGTGTCTGATCCACTCAGACCAGCACAACACACACTAACACACCACCACCACGTCAGTGTTACTGCAGTGCTGAGAATGATCCACCAACCAAATAGTACCTGCTCTGTGAGGGTCCATGGGGGTCCTGACCACTGAAGAATGGGGTAAAAGGGGGCTAACAAAGTATCAGAGAAACAGATGGACTACAGTCTGTAACTGTAGAACTACAAAGTGCACCTATAGAGTAAGTGGAGCTGATAAAATGGACAATGAGCGTAGAAACAAGGAGGTGGTCAGAATGTTATGCCTGACCGGTGTGTGTATAAATGAGGACGGTGTGTCTGGATTCTGTGGAGGGTGAAGTTTGCTGCCCCGACACCGAGGCAGTAACGCTCTGCTCGGTGTTGGTAGATGTGCTGGGCTGGACAGTGGATGCGGCATGCACTGGGGTCAAGGGTCGCTCTTTTTAATGAGCCGCATGTCCATGCTGGAAAACGTACCTAGCTAGCTAAATAAAGCTAATCGTGTTGCCTTCTGTAAACTTACAGCTACTCAGTAAACCAACTCCACTGAGCTGGTAACTTAAAGGACACATGCAGCTTGAAAAACGTGCAGACTCAGCTGTGGAACTGTGTTATCAATAGAACCGAGAGGAACCAGAGAGAAGAACTAACTTACCAGAGGAATGAACAGCTTTACTCGGGTCGCTGAGAGCAGCTACACACAGCCCACCTTAAACCCTGACTGTGTTTCTGTCTCCTGCTAGATACTGATGAAATGAAAACTGACCAAAGTTTTGTCTTTAATTTGATAAAATCCTGACAGTCACTGCGCTACAGATGATGCTAACATTAGCTGAGTAGCTTATATTAACATCCTGTCAGCATTTCTCTCTGCCCACCTGCTCAGACCTTGGTTCTCTGCAGTTGTTGCAGCTACTGTCCATCTTCACGTATGGAAAGAGTAGCCTAGCTAAGCTGTTAAACTCAGTGGAGCTCTGTCTGTCTGTCTCTGTCTGTCTGTCTGTCTCTGTCTGTCTGTCTCTCTGCTGTGGTAGCAGCACCTTGTCATCACGCTTCATCTGATAATCTCTCGAGGCTGATGTTTGCTTCCTATTGGAATTTCTGTCCCACCTTAAATAGCGCCGCATTTACAGAGTAGCGACCAATCAGGGGTCTGAATGTAACTGTTACATCATTTAAGGTGGAAAGGAAATAAAAATAAGAAGCTAAATTCAGCTTCATCTGATCTCCATCCGCTGCACAAGTTACAGTCAGCAAACCGGGGTTCAGAAACTGCCTAAAACAGTTCATTTTCATCTAGAAGTATTTTTGAATAAGTACTCAGTGCCTGTTTTGCTGTTGCAGTATTTTTTTCTTCTGTCTCAGACAAACCGCCCCGTCTTAATAATCTGACCTGTAGTGTTTCTCTCCTGTAGATTCGCATCCGATTAAGGGAAGGTTCCATATTTTGGCAGCCCCAGATCTAATTACTATATAGATGAACCAGAGGTGTCAGAGCGCTGCCTCAGAGTTCTCCATCCAGTACCCACACAGTCAGATCTGTGAGAGGTTACTGACCAGCTCCACACAGTCTGAGGAACATCTGGGAACGTGGAGGCACCGTTACAGTCCTGTCGTTGTTCTGAAACTGAGCGTGTTTATCTTCTCACCGTAGGCTCGTGTGGAGCGCATGGAGGCCTGCCAGAAGAAGGGCGAGGATCTGGAAAGGAACCTGACGGAGAGCCGGAGGAAGCTGCAGGAGGCTCAGAAGAAGGTCCAGGAGCTCTCGCTCCTAAACACTGAGGAGGCCAAGAAGCAGCTGGTCAAAGCCCAGGAGGAGGAGAAGCGGCTGAAGAAGGAGGAGAGGAGCTGCGAGAAGAAGCTGGAGGAGCACCGGCGGGAGGAGAAGAAGATGCCCTGGAACGTAGACACGCTCAGCAGAGACGGCTTCAGCAAGGTGAGGAACGCTGAGAGGGGCGCGAAAGGGTGGGAGACACGGAGAACGTAGAACAGTATAACACCGCCACACCTGAGAGTCATATATAATATATAATAAAACACAAAGCATACATATAATACTAGACACTCTCACACTTCAGCTGAACTCTTAACGTTCCTCTTCTGGAGTGTGGAACGTGGAACTGATAGGTAGAACCAGGCAGTATCAGTGCACTCTTAAAAAGATGGTTCTTCAGGGTTCTTTAGTAAAGGGAATGGTTCTATTTAGAAAAAAATGAGTTCACTATAGAATCATTTCATGCTTAAATGGTTCTGGTGTGGTGAAATGGTTCTTTAGATTGATGGAGAATGTTTTGTATATGGTTCTCCATGGCACCAAAAAGGGTTCTTTCATTATTACAGGCTTGACATTGTAGCGATAGCAGAACCCTTTTTGGTGCTACATAGAACCAGACGTGTTAATAGCCAACATGTTCTCCATCAGTCTGAGGAACCATCTCACCATTAGTTAGTTTCGCTGTCGCAGACGGCGTTTCAGTGAGTTTTTAGTTTGTAGCTGCTGTGATCGGCGATTAGTCATTAGCGCTTTGTTGAAGGGGAACCCCAGTCAAAATTCCCCCATAATTCAGTGTGTGAGATGTAAACCGAGTGACTCAGAGTGGTTTGGTGTGAAATGGTTCAGATGTCTTTACAGTGGTGGTGATAGGAACCAGGGGTCGCCATGACTACAACACAAATATAGACATTTTATTCACTATCCAGAACCACCAGAGAACCTACACGAGTCTTCTGAGTTTATATGGAATGTTGATGATGAAAATAGTGGAAAATCTGAAATAATAAGTTTTCTTTGGGGACTATTTAGACAGACTCGTACAACAGGCTAACACAGTTCACAAACAAAGCCTCGGGGGTCGGTCTGGTCAGGTGGAGGCTGATGGCACAGGTGCGACCACTGGAACAGCCCTCTCTCCTTCTGCAGTGCAGCTCTGCCCCATAAGTAGCTGGAGTGCCCCCTGCTGTAGCCAGTCAGAGCCCTCCAGACATTAACCCTATGGGAAAAGGTGATGAACGAGAAAGAGAGAGAGCACAAAACGGACACCACCCCCAGAACCATAACACGATTTACACGTTAACAGAACATGCAGCGATTCAGCCGCGTTAAACCAACCCATACACACCAAACACCATGAGAAACGACTGTAGCAGAGAGAGGAATGTAAATAAAGAGAGAAGTTTCTTTAATAACGTTATTCATACAGTCCTCTGCACGTTTCCTCACATCACTGTTACACTGAGTGAGTCTGAGATATTAACACAGCCAGTTTACAGCTAAACTGTTTTAAAGTGAAGCCTTCTGTGTTCACGACGTTAAACACGCTATAAATACAGAGTAACGAGTGATAAAGAGCCGTAGAGGAGAAACAGAGGCATGTGAACATCTGTACGTGTAAACGTCTGATGATGAATACTATAGAAAATATTATTTACAGAATATTACAGATTGTTATTTATTTATTTATTTATTTATTTATTAGGATCCCCATTAGCTGCTATCACGATAGCTGCTATTCTTCCAGGGGTCCAGCAGACACACTGTACACTACAGAATAAGGCAATAACAATCAATGAAACACGTCAAACAGAACACAAGTGAAAATAAAAAGAAAAACAAAAAGAACTGAGAGAAAACAAACACATGAGAATGGAAAATGACGTAGTGGGACAGTTTAACCATAAATAACAGCAGAGAGACTGAAAACGGAAAATCACACCGAGAGAAAAGCTCATTCAGTGTGTCTCACAGACACGTCAGACGACTCTCTCTCCAACTGTCTCAGACTGACCCAAACATCTGCAGACTAGAGCCACCAGCTCTGACTCAGACTGAGAACCAGGGCTGGAATCAGGGTAGAAGTCGTGCAGTTGAGCCCCGGCTTTATTCCCCTCTCCCCCTCGTCAGGGGGCACAGACACAGAGCTGTACAGGAAGACCAGGTTGGGGGTCTCCACGTCTCCACTTCCTGTGTCCGCCGTTTGAAATTAAACGTCTTTTATTGGTTAATAAGCCGTAGTTGGGCGTGTTGAGTGTATCAGGCGTATTCTGAGCTGCACGATTCGATGGAAGCGGCTCGTTTAGGTGCAGTTTGAGTTCGTCTGCTCCATTAAACGAGCAAAAATAGAAATGAAAATGAGCAGAAATTGTTTGTTTATTAAATGTAAAATAAGTTATTTTATTAAGTCTGTTGGCTCGTCTGTTGGGCGTGCAGTGGTACAGTGCGCCTGTGGTTCGGTGTGTATGACGGTGTTTGGGCCACAGTAACGGTGCAGTTTCAGTATCTTTACATGTAAGAAAGTAGAACCGTCACCCTTTAAACACTGAACTCTTACAAATTAACCTTCCCATTCAGAAAAGTGTCAGCGCGACTGACTGGGCAGGTTTCTGTCTGTACTGTGAGAAATCAGGAGGAGAAAGTCTTCTCAGCTCTGATATACAGAGCAGATGATTATCACATATTACACAGATGATCATTGGATAAAGTTAAAATGGTTGATGATATAAACTGATAATCTCTCTCTCTTTTCCCGTCTCTCTCTCTCTCTCTCTCTCTCTGGTAGAGTGTGCTGAATGTGAAGCCTGAAGTGAAGGAGGAGACGGAGGAGGAGAAAGAACAGAAGCACAAAACCTTTGTGGAGAAATACGAGAAACAGATCAAACACTTTGGTACGTTCAGACGCTGCAGACGTTTTTGTTTGGCTGAAAATCAAACCCCCCACTCCTCCCCACCCCCACCACGCTGATCACCCCCAAATCTCCGCTGACCCCCCCACAATCCTAAACCGGCCCCACCACGCTGATCCCCTCACCCTCGCCCCCACCCTTGCAGACCATGTCCACCACTTACCCCAAATGTAGCCAGTCAGGTAAGACGTGTCGGGCGTCTGAATTTCAGTTCCTTAGCTAAGCCCACCAGTTAGTGACCACCGCAAAGCTTACAGCCCACCGGTTATTAAGCTGCTTCCTCGTATTTTTGTACTTCCTGAATGGAACTGCTGCGGCATTTAAGGTGGAACAGAAAGCTCGAATAAGAAGCTGGTGAACGGGAAGCCGACTTCACTGACCTATTAGAGACGAGCATGTTATGATTTAGACCTGCGGTTAGCGCAGTGCTAATCGGTGGGGTATAAGCTTCCGTTACCCGTTAGCTAAGCTAAGCTAATGTAGTGCTAACGCTACAGAACCAAACCAGGCTGAGTGACTCGGCGTCAGTGCTGAACTGTGCCTTAACGATCCTCTCTGAATCTGCCTGTTTACCCCGACTCTGCTCAGCTAACGAGCTCTGTGTGCAGGGATGCTGCGCCGCTGGGACGACAGTCAGAAGTACCTGTCCGATAACCCTCACCTGGTCTGTGAGGAAACCGCAAACTACCTGGTGATCATGTGCATCGACCTGGAGGTGGAGGAGGTACGCACCTGCCTTCTTAAAAGGGGAACTCCACCCATTTTCCTCAATTCCCCCCTAGTTCAGTGTGTGAGATGTAATCAGAGTGATTCAGAGAGGTTTGGTGTGAAATGGTTCAGATGTCTTTACAGTGGTGGTGATAGAAACCAGGGGTCGCCATGACGACAACACAAATATAGACATTTTATTCACTATCCAGAACCACCAGTGAACCTACACGAGTCTTCTGAGTCTATATGGAATGTTGATGATGGAAAATAGTGGAAAATCTGAAATAATAAGTTTTCTTTGGGGACTATTTTGCCTCACAGCGCCCTGCATGTATCCCTCCACCATGAATGGAGTTTAAGTTCTCTAAACTATCATAAAACAGTGTCTCAGTCATCAGGCAGTGAATTCATAACCATTTCATGTAGTAACTTTCTGTGAGGGAGCTTTTAGAGGGGGACGTCTGGTTCCTATCACCACCACTGTGAACAGTTCTGACTCTGTAAGTTTATCTAGAACAGAGCGTTTCACACCAAACCACTCTGAACCGCTCTGTGTACATCTCAACCACTTAATTAGGCATTTAATTATGCAAATTCTCATGTAATGTTGTTGTATTGGCCTGTTTTATTCAGTGGCTGCAGTTCAGAGCACAATTATAGATAAAATAACAGTGAAATCAGTTGGAAAACATTCTGTCATTGATGGTGAACTGAATAATAATAATATCTCTGTTTACACAGAACATTTTTTAATTGTGTTAGCTCAGTGTTTCATAGTCAGGTGGTAACAGTAATAGATAAAGAGCTGCGTTTACAGGTGTTTATTAAAAGTGAGCTCTAGTTGGGGTTCATCCTAAAGTTAGGACAGGATTTAGGAGGTTTAGTCTAGTTAGGATGTTTGTGTGTTGCTGTTTTCTTATCTGGAGCTCATGATGAGATTATGAAGGTAGGAACTCTTATCCTGGAATAGATACTGTCTGAAATTCAGTCAGGACTGAAGTCGTCATGGAGACCAAACAGAGTTCAGAGTTAGGATGTTTCTGTAATGAGACCCCCCGTCGTGACCCTGATGGTGTGTGGTCTCGTTTCTCTCTCTGCTTTCAGAAACACGCTCTGATGGAGCAGGTGGCCCACCAGACCATCGTAATGCAGTTCATCCTGGAGCTGGCCAAGAGTCTGAAGGTGGACCCCCGAGGCTGCTTCCGTCAGTTCTTCACCAAGATCAAGGTGGGTCTACCTTTCAGCCATGCTCCTCCCCTCAAACTTCTGTTAGAACATAACTACATTTTGTGACCTGCCTGTAGATGAGTTGGACCAGTCAGAGGCCACCAAACCTCCACGTCTTGTGACATCACAACCACGACTTGGTGGCTGTCTGGAGCACCATATTCAGGAGTCAGTGAAAAAAGTGAATATTCTGGTCTTCTTCACCAAAAGAACAGGCTTGAACCTTAATTTATAGAAAATAATTGCAGTTTAAATCAAAGTCGCAATGTTAGTCCAAAAAAACGTAAATTAGATGTTTTCCCCAAATCGTTCAACCTTAATTAAAGAAATTGCAGCTGTTCTGATTTGAAAATTGCTTAAATTGTGATTTCAATATAAAAACAGTGAATCTTTCATCTCTACTGTTAATGCAGTTTGACTGCAGCAGTTTTCTGTTTCAGCTGACGTGTTTCATTGATTGTTATTGCCTTATTCTGTAGTGTACAGTGTGTCTGCTGGACCCCTGGAAGAATAGCAGCTATCGTGATAGCAGCTAATGGGGATCCTAATAAATAAATCAATAAATACATAAATAAATAACAGTCTGTAATATTCTGTAAATAATATTTTCTATAGTATTCATCATCAGACGTTTACACGTACAGAAGTTCACATGCCTCTGTTTCTCCTCTACGGCTCTTTATCACTCGTTACTCTGTATTTATAGCGTGTTTAACGTCGTGAACACAGAAGGCTTCACTTTGATGTTCTGTTCCGTCAGACAGTCTGTACACGATTACTGGGACAAAACAGGAGCCGCATCACAGAAACACCTTCACTCTGAAATGTGTTTAGTCATGACGACTTCAGTACGGACTGAATTTAGTACAGTATCTATTCCAGAATAAGAATTCCTAACTTCATAATCCCATTATTAACTCCAGATCAGAAAACAGCATCACACAAACATCCTAACTAGACTAAACCTCCTAAATCCTGTCCTAACTTTAGGATGAACCCCAACAGGGTCCTCACTTCTGTTTAAGGTCCGTTTCTATGGTTTTTAGGCAGCTGAGTCAGCAGCATAGTTCACTACCAGCATAATGAGCTCCATTTATTCCTACTGTAAAACGCTGCTTTCACTGTGAGATGATTTTCTTTTCTAACTCTGCGTTTTAAAGATCTCAGACGCTGCAGACTCGATCTCCACCGCCCCTCTGATCACCTTCGTGTGTTAATGTTGACGATGAAATATTACAGTGATGGTGGTGAATAATGAGGAGACGGAGCTGAACGTGTGTCTGTTTATTAGGAGGAGTAACGTTAGCGTGCTCGGCTAAAGCGTTTGGGAAATGGAGATTGAAACTGGGGAGCGGCGACGCTCTGATAAACAGCAGGGGGCGCTCTCACAGTATTCACTACTTACAGTTTATCACACTTTAGTTCTGTTTGACCTTCCTTACATCAGTAACAGCAGCTTAACTCACATTTTAGCATTATTCTGATATTCAGCTGTGTGTGTATGGTCAGGTGCTAATAAACAGACATGGCAGCTGATCGTCGACTCTGATCGAGTAGGTTAAGATTTCCTATCTGGAGATCAGATGCTGTAAGATCAGATAAGATTCCTACATTAAGGTCAGATTCGATTCTGTATTAAGAATCTGTGAATAATCTTATCTTTACTTGTCAGATCTGAACTCAAGACTAAAGATTGGTCTTGATCTGATCACAGCATCTCTAAAGACCCACCACAGACCTCACTGAGACACAGAGCTGTTACTGTTCTAAAGGAAGTTGTTCTGTATTGCACAGATTCAGATCAGCTCAGTCAGGCTACACTCATGATTAATACAGTATGAGTTTCCTCCTCCTTTAAGGTTCAGCGGTGCTCCTGCTGGTTTAAGGCGACGTGGTCTAGTGTGTTAAAGGGCTCGTGCTCCTGTGTTGACTCTCTCCGTGAGCTCCACCGGTGACACTCGCCTGGTTTAGTCCATGTTTGGTGGTTTCAGTTCCAGGAGCAGATATCAGAGAAGACCTAAACAGACCTCCCTCTGCTCAGTGTGCTCTCCGTCCTGTCGACGGCTCTGAAGGTGCCGGGTGCCGTGAAAGTGCAGCATTCTTAAGACGTAGCTGTGAATGTGTTGATGCTGACGGTTCTGCAGTGCTGATCTCACTGTCTATCTAGAACGTCTGCAGGTTCAGACTGTTCAGGTGTGAACGGAGCGCTAGATTGTGATTAACGCCACTGCCTGTGTGCGTGTGCCTGTGTGCGTGTGCCTGTGTGCGTGTGCCTGTGTGCGTGTGCCTGTGTGCGTGTGCCTGTGCCTCAGACTGCAGATCAGCAGTATCAGGACGCCTTTAACGACGAGCTGGAGTCGTTTAAGGAGCGCGTCCGTGGCCGAGCCAAGATCCGCATCGAGAAGGCCATGAAGGAGTACGAGGAGGAGGAGCGACAGAAACGCCTCGGCCCCGGAGGACTGGACCCGGTGGATGTGTACGACTCCCTGCCCCAGGTATGTTGACCCGCTCTACCTCTCGGTCTATCTGTCTGTTTCTCTCAGACTGTCTGTCTCTCTCTCTCAGACTGTCTGGCCCCAGTGCTGACCTTAGTGTTAGCCCCATTGTTGGTCCCAGTGTTAGCCCCAGTTATGGTGTTGGTCCCAGTTATGGTGTTAGCCCCAGTTATGGTGTTGGTCCCGGTGTTGGTCCCAGTTATGGTGTTGGTCCCAGTGTTGTCTTTGGCCTTAGTGTAATAAAACAGACTTTTATAGAGTTGTTTATGTTGCCAACACAAGAACTGCCGCCTGAAAGAGTGGGCATGCAGTGCTGGAAGGTCTCAGCAGAGCAGTAATGACCCTCTACAGGGTTTATCTGTGATTTCTGCTGTAGTGTTTAATGTGAGTCACTGTGTTTGAGGTTGTATTGTTCTATATCAGTGTTTTGGTGTTGAGAATAACAGTGTTGTTTGTTTAACTGGTGTTTGTGTTTATCTTTCCTGAAACAGGAGATGCAGAAGTGTTTTGATGAGAAAGACATTCAGATGCTGCAGGACGCCATCAGCAAAATGGATCCCACGGTAATAATCCATCATTTATATATATTTATGTACAGTGTGGCTGTCACACAGTTAAAATGATCAGTCACATCTGTCTCGTTTACTCGAAAGAGAGTTGTTTCTATTTTAATAGTAGTGAGTTCTGTTAGTTACATGAGTAAACAAAGTAAGCTTAGTCCTCACTGTAGTGACGAAATTGTATCTTTAAAATCTTACCTTCACAGAAGGAGATGAGATGTTCTTAACTGTGAACGGAGATCAGTGGGACAGGATTTTTTCCTTCCGTGTAACTTTGAAGCATTTTTGTTGTTTCATCCCTCATCGCATTTTAAAACTTGTAAAAGGGCAGCATTTCAAAAAAAAAGTGGAGAGGTTTTCTTAGCAGTTGCTAAGTAACGACTGGCTTTACGCTGCAGCTAACAGTTATTAAGGTTCTATAGAGTTACTTCTAAGCAAGCTTTTCAACACAAACAACTAAACAAAGTGGAATCAGCCAGAAGCCAACAAAGTACATTTCAGCAGACGACACGGGCTGAGAAATGCTTCACTGTCTGAACTAACACAGTCAGCTTCATCTGGAAACACTGAAAAAGCTCAACCTGATATTCACACAGGTTTATGGCTCTGTAATGATAAAGGTTCTATTTGCTGATATTAATGCACAGTTTATACACCAAGTGCAGAAAATCAGATTGGGTCAGTAACCGGTTTGGTGTGTTTTAATGCTGTTGGGTAATCAGATAATGGGGAAACTCCAGGTCTACACAAGTCAGACAGTAATTGGATTTCTGCTTTACAACCAGCCAATAAACTCACAGAAGAAGACGTGACGTAAACGTAACGTAACGGAGTTCATCTGGAATTCAGGGAGCTATTTATGGCTCTCAGAAAATCAACATCGAGTTTTTTATTAGGTGCATGTAAACACACTGACAGTCAGGATGCAGGTTTTCTTTTCTTTTTCCATTCTTTTGTAGACCTGCTGTATAAAGCAGTAGATCAGTGGACGTGGTGTGTGATGGTGAACGATTTCTCCTGAACTCACCTTCAACTTGTACCTGCGACCCAGTCAGAGCCGTGGTGTCATGAAGTCACTGTGATGATATTGACCGTTGTGTGATTGTGATTGTCTGTTCAGGAGGCGAAGTACCACATGAAGCGCTGTATTGACTCCGGGCTGTGGGTCCCCAACTCTCGGACGGACGACGACGCGGAGAAAGAAGAGAAGGAGGAGGAGCCTCAGTATGAGGAAGTGAAGAAGGAGACGAGTGACGGACAGGACAAATCAGACTCTAAATAAACGACAACACCCACAACAGTCATAACATTCAACGCCGTAAACATGTTCAACATCTCCTCTAAACCCCCCCAACACTGCTTCGCCATTAGTACCTCCTCTAAACTCGCCCCAACACTGCTTCGCCATTAGTACCTCCTCTAAACCCCCCCAACACTGCTTCGCCATTAGTACCTCCTCTAAACTCGCCCCAACACTGCTTCGCCATTAGTACCTCCTCTAAACTCGCCCCAACACTGCTCCGCCTTTAGTACCTCCTCTAAACCCCCCCAACACTGCTCCGCCTTTAGTACCTCCTCTCAACCTGCCCCACCACTGTTCCGCCATTAGTACCTCCTCTAAACCCCCCCAACACTGCTCCGCCTTTAGTACCTCCTCTAAACTCGCCCCAACACTGCTTCGCCATTAGTACCTCCTCTAAACTCGCCCCAACACTGCTTCGCCATTAGTACCTCCTCTAAACTCGCCCCAACACTGCTCCGCCTTTAGTACCTCCTCTCAACCTGCCCCACCACTGTTCCGCCATTAGTACCTCCTCTAAACTCGCCCTAACACTGCTCCGCCTTTAGTACCTCTTCTAAACTCGCCCCAACACTGCTTCGCCATTAGTACCTCCTCTAAACCCCCCCAACACTGCTCCGCCTTTAGTACCTCCTCTAAACCCCCCCAACACTGCTCCGCCTTTAGTACCTCCTCTAAACCCCCCCAACACTGCTCCGCCTTTAGTACCTCCTCTAAACCCCCCCCAACACGGCTCCGCCTTTAGTACCTCCTCTAAACCCCCCCAACACGGCTCCGCCTTTAGTACCTCCTCTAAACCCCCCCAACACGGCTCCGCCATTAGTACCTCCTCTCTGCCCCCGCCCTCAGTACATTCTCACAGCCCTGCCCCAGCGCTGTTACAATCTCCCACAATCCCCCTCATTTCATTTCACATTAGACTTTTTTCTCCAAAGCTGCTCAGCTGTTGTGATTAGTGCTGATTAAAGAGTGTTTTAAGAGAGTATTAGAGGTCAGAGGTTAATTGGCCCCACCCCCTGACCGCTGCATGCTGATGATCGTTGCTGATGGAGTAACTATGGTTCCTGAACTAATTATGTTCATTAAAGTCATCAGAGCGCTCAGAGGCGATGATCAGCCGTCACTCCGTACAGACGTTATTTACTCCGTGTTTATTGTTTAGAGTTAATAAACAGAACTTCTTCAGATGATAACAGTAATAAACACGCAGAGGAGTGAACTGTTCATTCATTCACTGTTTCTGTGACCCTGTTGTATAAAAAGTGCTCGTTTTTTTTTTTGTTTATTTCTCCGCTCTGATGTTCGTCAGGACTTCAGTGTTTTTTAGTTTTGTTTTTTTCAGTCAGACGTTTATATTCAGTTTTTCTTTTATTTTTACTAGTTTGTGTTGCTAAGTAAAGGTCTGCTGTAAACACGTTTCTCTGTTTGTTGTTTTTAATAATCTCTCTGCATCTCTTAAAGTTCAACAGGCTGGTTCTGTTCCAGCCTTGACCTAAAGATAGCCACAAGCAAATATGTTAGCTCAAAGCTAATGCATGAGCCGTGAACAGACAATACCCATAAACAAATATTAGCCCAAAGCTAATGCACTAGCTATGAACTGAGACTAGCTGCAGACAAAAATGTTAGCTCTAAGCTGATAGATTAGCCAGGAGCTGACATTTACATTTACAGCGTTTAGCAGACGCTCTCATCCAGAGCGACTTACAGAAAGTGCTTTGTTGTCACTCAGAGAAAGTATCTTTGCTCGTTACCAATAGGTTAGAGAGAAAGCCAGTCCTGAGCTCAGATACTGCTAGAATCAGAAGTCCCTGTTGATACCCAGAGAAACAGGAACAGAGTTAAACACAGAGCAGTGCAATACAATACAATACATTACAATAAGTACTTATATTAGTGCTCACTAAAGTGCTGTATAAAGAGACGGTCTTCGGTCTGCGTTTGAAGACAGCGAGAGACTTCGCTGTTCGGACAGTCAGTGGGAGGTCGTTCCACCACCTGGGCGCCAGGACAGAGAAGAGTCTTGATGCTTGTTTTCCACGCATCTTGAAGAATGGCAGGTCGAGCTGAGCTGTACTTGAAGCTCGAAGGGCTCGAGGTACAGTTCGAGTTTTGACCATTGCCGTCAGGGAGGGGCTGGTCCATTTTTGGCTTTGTAGGCTTTAGGGTTTTAAATCTGATGCGGCCACAGGAAGCCAGTGAAGGGAGCGCAGCAGCGGGGTGACGTGGCTGAACTTAGGGAGATTGAAGACGAGCCGAGCTGCTGCCACAAGAAAACATGTTAGCCCAAAGCTAACCAGCACAGACCTACAAGCGTTTCATGCTGGTTGAAACCAGCATTAAAACACAACGTGTGCCTGTTTTGCTGACTAGCCACAAACAAACATGTCAGCCCAAAGCTAATGCTCTAGCCATGAGCTAACAGTAGCCATAATACTCAGTTATATTACAGTTCGATACGCTGATTATTACGGCTGCTCTGATGCTGTGCTTTGTTTTCAGAGGGAGAACATTTATCACCTCAAACTGTCTGCAGCTCATTTTAGATTCCTTCTGGTTTTTGCTCTGCTGAAAAAAAAAAAACGGCACAGACCAGCAATTATTTCATGCTTTAAGCCAATCAGGTTTGAGCAGGAAAACAAACAGTACAAGTGACGGTGTTAATAAATAACACTAATCAGTAGTTTATATGTAATTAAACACAACCTGACTAATTACTTTCAGCTACGTTTCTCTGGAGTTATTATTCTTTAATGCTGAAGATTTCTCTGGGTTTATTAGCTACCTGAGCTAACTCATTAGCTTAGCCTGAACATTAGCTTAACTTAGCTAAACTGGATAGATAAATTAGATAACACAATAAAATGTAGAAATGTTTTAGCTTTAGTAAATGGCCGATGTCATTGATTTTCCTAAGGCCCTAGATATACACAAATTAAACGTTCGTCTCAGAGAGAAGCTCGGTTAGGTTTTACTAGGTTAGCTTACTTTAGCTTACGTTACCAAACAGACACGTTCAGCAGAAAATAAAAGCATGAACAGCTGCCGGCAGTAAATGTTCTGAAATAAGTAAAAGAAATGCTAAAAGAACAGCTGTGGTTTCCACTGTGGAGTCACTCACGTTCCTGAGCTCCACCATATCCAGGAACCTGAAGTGGGAGTGGTACACGGTCTCCATCACCAAGAGAGCTCAGCAGAGAACAGTCTTCCTGAGAGAGCTGAAGAACTTCAACCTGCCACAGCGTCTGATGATCCAGTTCTACACAGCGACGCCATCCCCACATCATCATAACCATCTGGTTTGGTTCTTCCACCTCAAGAATGAGCCAAACTCCTGAGTATAATCAGGACAGCGGAGAGGATCATGGGATGTGTCTGCCAACACTTCAGGACATCTACAACAGCAGAGCGCCAGCAAAATTACAGCTGACTCCTCTCATCCTGGACATCACCTCTTCAAGACACGCCCACTGGTAGAAGATTCAGGACCGTCAAAACCAGCACAGCCAGACATGCTAACAGCTTTTTCCCCCGAGCTGCAGATCATTAACCACAGTGGAATTACTGTTTATTTACTGAATTTATCATAACTGTTTATTTAATGTAACAAACAAAATGTGGATTTTGATCAGGGGTGCACAGACTTTTGCACACAGCTGTATATATGTGTATGTATATATGTATATGTACTGGTCTCTGTAACAGTGAGTCTTTACAGAAGCAGGAAATGCTACAGCAGGAACAGCTGCAACGAACGTCCTTCTACCTGGAGCACCACGGCTTCCGAGAGCCACTTTTCATGGCCACGCCCCCAAAGCTCCCCTCAGCAGTTCAGCCCATGGTTGATGCCTTCAGTCCCATCTCAGCTTTTCTTCTGCTTTTTCCATAACCCCCTGTGTCGTCAATGCCTGTGTGCTGCCCATGGCTCTTCTTCTGGCCCTTCCACCATTTGCTTATGAGTTAGCTGATATGCCGCTCAACTTCTTCCAGCTCGGCGGACCCATCTCACTTCTGACACCAGTGCAGCATCACGCCTTCGTGCGAATGCTCTTTTATTTTAACAGGCGCTTCAGCGATTCTTTACACACATTAGAAATGTCCAGCCCAGCGCTGCCCAACATGAAACCAGGGAGGAGGACTAACTCTCACTCAGAGCCACCTTCAGCGGACACAGTTTAACAAACCAAATGCCACACATTACCCTCCTGAGAGTCACTTTGCATGGCCACGCCCCCTAAACGCCGCACGGCAGCGCCTCAATGAATAAATACATATACTGTGTGTAAAGCTGATTTTTGTGTCTGAGGGATTTTGTGCTTTAATCTCTGTTCCACGATCAGCACTGAGTGTGCGCGCGCGTGTGCGCGTGTCGCTCTCCGGGAGGGGAGCGGGGGGAGAGGTGGGGGGGTTCGCGCGCGCGGAGCACAGCGGATATTCACGAAGAGACTTTGGGTATTTTTACTGAAAACACGGAGACACTGCAGAGAGAGAGAGAGAGAGAGAGAGGTACACACACAGTGAGAGAGAGAGACACAGTGAGGGAGAGAGAGAGAGAGGTACACACAGCGAGAGAGAGAAAGGAGCGATCCTCATCCCTCCATCTCTGCCTGCTCGGCCGCTCGTTCGTCGCTGAGGTGAAGATGAAGATGAGGATGATGATGAAGACGAAGGTGAGCGTGCTCCTCTTCCTCTCTCGCGGCCGTTGTGGCGCGAGGCTGTCCGCGTCTGTGCTCTCCATCATGGCAGCTGTCCGTGTCTGCAGTGACGGTCCGCGCTGTTCTCTCTCCGCGCGCTGCGGCTCAGCTCAGGATCCGCGTCTGTTCGGTTCGGTTCTGGATCTCTAATTGACGGTTCTGTTTGGCTGTGTAGCTTCACACATACACACGCACGCACGCGCGCGCGCGCGCGCACGCGCACACAGCAGGACCCCTAACAAGCTCGGTTCAGATTCTGGTTCTGGTTCTGGATCATTGATGTTTTACTGCCCTCCTGAAAAAAACACCTGAACATCGTGGCCGGCTCAGTCTGGTTACGCTGGTAGATCAGCACAGGGTATGTTTTCATTTGAGTCCAGGGGTTTTGAAGGTCTACCAGCATGACCGACTGGACCAGGCTGGTGGATTAGCATGCCTAGCATTACTTAGCTGGTAGGCCAACATGGCTGAGAGGGTGACCAGTGCTGGTCCTGGAGATCTACCACCATGGAGAGTTGAGATCCAGCACACCTGGCTCTAACGTTCAGATGCCCCTGAAGGCCCTCATTACCAGGATCAGGTGTGTTACATCAGAGTTGGAGCTAAGCTCTTCAGACTGGTAGATCTCCAATACCAGGTTAGAGGTGAGCTCTTCAAACTGTTAGAAATCCAGGACCAGGTTAGAGCTGAGCTCTTCAGACTGGTAGATCTTCAGGAGCAGATTGGAGCTGAGCTCTTCAGACTGGTAGATCTCCAGGACCATGTTAGAGCTGAGCTCTTCAGACTGGTAGAAATCCAGGACCAGGTTAGAGCTGAGCTCTTCAGACTGGTAGATCTCCAGGACCAGGTTTGGGCTCCCCTCTGCTAAACCATCAAGCCTAAACAAAAACATACCCCATGGTCAACCAGCATGACCACCACGACCAAGCTGATTGGCCAACATGACCATGTTTATTATTCTGGTAGATCAGCTAAATCAGGGGTGCCCAGTCCTGGTCCTGGAGATCTCCCACCCTGGAGAGTTCTGATGCTATGGTCCACCAGTATGACCATCATGACCAAGCTGCTCGGCCAGTGTGACCAACATACCGTAGGGCATGTTTTCACTTGGTCCACCTGAATGTCCACCTTGTCAACCACCTTGACCATCAAACACCAGCTTAGACCATGTGACGCCACCTACCAGCAGGGTAACAAGGCCACAGCAGGGTTACTAACTGGATGCTGTGATGGTCACCAGTATTCTGTGTTCTGTGTTGGTCACAGCATTCCTGACTGCAGACTGAAGACCAGTCCAGCTGGAGGGGTGTGGTCAACAGGAGGGGTGTGGCCAGTGTCAGATTCCTTCAGTCAGAAGGAGGGCGTGCGAGGCGACGGCGGATCCCAGGTCGCCGTGGCAACACAGTGAGATGGGGGTGAGGGTGTGACCCCCACCCCGGTGTGACCTCGGCGTGACCCCGGCGTGAACCCGGCGCGACCTGGCTCTCCACCTGCTTTGCTGCTTGGGTTCGGCTCCGGTTCGGTCCGGAGGGAAGAACCAGCCAATCAGGATGAAGAAGAGCCGCAGCGTCTTGACTGTGACCGGAGAGGAGGTACATTTAGATAAGATACAGTATGAAGGCAATCTGTTCGAAGGTCACACAGCCTAATCAATAAATACAGCTGCTGGTAAAGTGACATAGCCGCTAATCAATTAATAGAGACACCAGTCAATTAATAGAGCCGCCAGTTAATTAACAGAGCTGCTAGTCAATTAAAAGTGCTGCTAGCCAAGTATTAGAGCCATTAGTAAATTAATATAGCTTCTAGACAAGTAATAGAGCTGCTAGTCAATTGATATAGAGCTGCTAGTGAAGTAATAGAGCTGCTGGTCAATTAGTAGAGCTGCTAGTCAAGTAATGTAACCAGTATTCAATTAATAGAGCTGCTAATAAATGAGTATAGCCACAATTCAATTAATAGAGCTGCTACTTAAATAATGTAGTCACTAGAAAATTAATAGAATGACTTTAGTTAATGTATCTGCTAGTGAACTAGCACAGCCACTAATCAACTAATGTTTCTGCTAATTGCTAATATATTGCTATTCAACTAAAATAGGCACTTCTCAAGTAATGTGTCCACTGGTTGATTAGATGCTTGTCATCTAATATCTCCATTAATGAGTGGAAACATAGTGATGCTTATTATTGGTTATAGTCCAGAAGTTCTATAATTATGTTAAATAACAGTTACGGTTCAGAAGTTCTATAACGATGTTAGTTATGCAGCTCCACACAGTAAGCATCACTCAGAGTTTCCGCGGTAACGTCATTCACACATACTCACTCACTCTCGTCCTTCTCTATGTCTATGTCTCTCTATCTCTCCTCCTCCCTTACTCTCCGTCACGTGTGTGGTGGTTTGTGGGTCCAGACGGTTTCAGATACAGCCTGGAACACGGCACTGTTGCCTAGCAACTGCTGCCCCGTGTGTTTTGTTGGTACAGTTCTGCAGTGCAGACGAGGAACACACACACAAACATGCACTCAGATCCTCCGTCGAGGTATTTTTATTTACTGTGTTTGTTTATTTAGACACTGGTTGGTTATTTACAGTCTGTGTAGGTAAACAAAGCACAGCATTGTGGTTAATAACTCGTGTCACTATCCAGGTGTGATCTCGTAATCAGAATGCGCGTCTTGTTAAACTTTGGGTGCTGGATTCCAACAATAACAAGGGTCTGCCCCCTCTAAACCCCGCCCCCAAATTCCTCTGATCTGGCTCTTTTAACATCTGCAGAACAGTCCTTCCACAACCAGTGTGTATTAGTCTTTTACAGCCAGTGTGTATTGGTCTTTTACAGCCAGTGTGTATTGGTCTTTTACAACCAGTGTGTATTAGTCTTTTACAGCCAGTGTGTATTGGTCTTTTACAGCCAGTGTGTATTGGTCTTTTACAGCCAGTGTGTACTGGTATTTTACAGCCAGGGCATATTGGTCTTTTACAGCCAGTGTGTATTGGTCTTTTACAGCCAGTGTGTACTGGTATTTTACAGCCAGGGCATATTGGTCTTTTACAGCCAGTGTGTATTGCTCTTTCACAGCCAGTGTGTATTAGTCTTTTATAGCCAGTGTGTATTGGTTTTTTACAGCCAGTGTGTATTGATCTTTTACAGCCAGTGCATATTGGTCTTTTACAGCCAGTGTGTATTGGTCTTTTACAGCCAGTGCATATTGGTCTTTTACAGCCAGTGTGTATTGGTCTTTTACAGCCAGTGTGTATTGGTCTTTTACAGCCAGTGTGTACTGGTATTTTACAGCCAGTGTGTATTGATCTTCTACAGCCAATGTGTATTGGTCTTTTACAGCCAGTGTGTATTGATCTTTTACAGCCAGTGCATATTGGTCTTTTACAGCCAGTGTGTATTGATCTTCTACAGCCAATGTGTATTGGTCTTTTACAGCCAGTGTGTATTGATCTTTTACAGCCAGTGTGTATTGGTCTTTTACAGCCAGTGTGTATTGATCTTCTACAGCCAGTGTGTATTGGTCTTTTACAGCCAGTGTGTATTGATCTTCTACAGCCAGTGTGTATTGGTCTTTTACAGCCAGGGTGTATTGGTCTTTTACGGCGAGGACATATTGGTCTTTTACAGCCAGTGTGTATTGGTCTTTTACGGCGAGGACATATTGGTCTTTTACAGCCAGGGTGTATTGGTCTTTTACGGCGAGGACATATTGGTCTTTTACAGCCAGTGTGTATTGGTCTTCTACAGCCAGTGTGTATTGGTCTTTTACAGCCAGTGTGTATTGGTCTTTTACAGCCAGTGTGTACTGGTCTTTTACAGCCAGTGTGTATTGATCTTCTACAGCCAGTGTGTACTGGTCTTTTACAGCCAGGGCATATTGGTCTTTTACAGCGAGGGCATATTGGTCTTTTACAGCCAGTGTGTATTGGTCTTTTACGGCGAGGACATATTGGTCTTTTACAGCCAGTGTGTATTGGTCTTTTACAGCCAGTGTGTATTGGTCTTTTACAGCCAGTGTGTACTGGTATTTTACAGCCAGGGCATATTGGTCTTTTACAGCCAGTGTGTATTGATCTTTTACAGCCAGTGTGTATTAGTCTTTTACACCCAGTGCATATTGGTCTTTTACAGCCAGTGTGTATTGGTCTTTTATAGCCAGTGTGTATTGTTTTTTTACAGCCAGTGTGTATTGATCTTTTACAGCCAGTGCATATTGGTCTTTTACAGCCAGTGTGTATTGGTCTTTTACAGCCAGTGTGTATTGATCTTTTACAGCCAGTGTGTACTGGTATTTTACAGCCAGTGTGTATTGATCTTCTACAGCCAATGTGTATTGGTCTTTTACAGCCAGGGCATATTGGTCTTTTACAGCCAGTGTGTATTGATCTTTTACAGCCAGTGTGTATTGGTCTTCTACAGCCAGTGTGTATTCATCTTCTACAGCCAATGTGTATTGGTCTTTTACAGCCAGGGCATATTGGTCTTTTACAGCCAGTGTGTATTGATCTTTTACAGCCAGTGTGTATTGATCTTCTACAGCCAGTGTGTATTGGTCTTCTACAGCCAATGTGTATTGGTCTTTTACAGCCAGTGTGTATTGGTCTTTTACAGCCAGTGTGTATTGATCTTTTACAGCCAGTGTGTACTGGTATTTTACAGCCAGTGTGTATTGATCTTCTACAGCCAATGTGTATTGGTCTTTTACAGCCAGGGCATATTGGTCTTTTACAGCCAGTGTGTATTGATCTTTTACAGCCAGTGTGTATTGGTCTTCTACAGCCAGTGTGTATTCATCTTCTACAGCCAATGTGTATTGGTCTTTTACAGCCAGGGCATATTGGTCTTTTACAGCCAGTGTGTATTGATCTTTTACAGCCAGTGTGTATTGATCTTCTACAGCCAGTGTGTATTCATCTTCTACAGCCAATGTGTATTGGTCTTTTACAGCCAGGGCATATTGGTCTTTTACAGCCAGTGTGTATTGATCTTTTACAGCCAGTGTGTATTGGTCTTTTACAGCCAGTGTGTATTGGTCTTCTACAGCCAATGTGTATTGGTCTTTTACAGCCAGTGTGTATTGGTCTTCTACAGCCAGTATGTATTGGTCTTTTACAGCCAGTGTGTATTGATCTTCTACAGCCAGTGTGTATTGGTCTTCTACAGCCAGTGTGTATTGGTCGTCTACAGCCAGTGTGTATTGGTCTTCTACAGCCAGTGTGTATTGGTCTTTACAGCTAGTGTGAATTGATCTTCTACAGCCAGTTTGTATTGGTCTTTTACAGCCAGTTTGTATTGGTCTTTTACAGCCAGTGTGTACTGGTCTTTTACAGCCAGTGTGTATTGATCTTCTACAGCCAGTGTGTATTGATCTTTTACAGCCAGTGTGTATTGGTCTTTTACAGCCAGGGCATATTGGTCTTTTACGGCGAGGACATATTGGTCTTTTACAGCGAGTGTGTATTGGTCTTTTACAGCCAGTGTGTATTGGTCTTTTACAGCCAGTGTGTATTGGTCTTCTACAGCCAGTGTGTATTGGTCTTTTACAGCCAGTGTGTATTGGTCTTCTGCAGCCAGGGCATATTGGTCTTTTACAGCCAGTGTGTACTGGTCTTCTACAGCCAATGTGTATTGGTCTTTTACAGCCAGGGCATATTGGTCTTGTACAGCCAGTGTGTATTGGTCTTTTACAGCCAGTGTGTATTGGTCTTCTACAGCCAGTGTGTATTGGTCTTCTACAGCCAGTGTGTATTGGTCTTTTACAGCCAGTGTGTATTGGTCTTTTACAGCCAGTGTGTATTGGTCTTTTACAGCCAGTGTGTATTGGTCTTCTGCAGCCAGGGCATATTGGTCTTTTACAGCCAGTGTGTATTGGTCTTTTACAGCCAGTGTGTACTGGTCTTCTACAGCAAATGTGTATTGGTCTTTTACAGCCAGGGCATATTGGTCTTGTACAGCCAGTGTGTATTGGTCTTTTACAGCCAGTGTGTACTGGTCTTCTACAGCCAATGTGTATTGGTCTTTTACAGCCAGGGCATATTGGTCTTGTACAGCCAGTGTGTATTGGTCTTTTACAGCCAGTGTGTATTGGTCTTCTACAGCCAGTGTGTATTCATCTTCTACAGCCAATGTGTATTGGTCTTTTACAGCCAGGGCATATTGGTCTTTTACAGCCAGTGTGTATTGATCTTTTACAGCCAGTGTGTATTGATCTTCTACAGCCAGTGTGTATTGGTCTTCTACAGCCAATGTGTATTGGTCTTTTACAGCCAGTGTGTACTGGTATTTTACAGCCAGTGTGTATTGATCTTCTACAGCCAATGTGTATTGGTCTTTTACAGCCAGGGCATATTGGTCTTTTACAGCCAGTGTGTATTGATCTTTTACAGCCAGTGTGTATTGGTCTTCTACAGCCAGTGTGTATTCATCTTCTACAGCCAATGTGTATTGGTCTTTTACAGCCAGGGCATATTGGTCTTTTACAGCCAGTGTGTATTGATCTTTTACAGCCAGTGTGTATTGATCTTCTACAGCCAGTGTGTATTGGTCTTCTACAGCCAATGTGTATTGGTCTTTTACAGCCAG